GTAGTGACTGATCAGATTCATTTTAAGAGGGTCATGGGACTATTTGAAATAGCACCACAGGCAAATTTCAGTAGAATAATTCTACTTAGAGAGGCTTTAGTTCTTCATAAAAATAGCTGTCTTTTGAGTTTAAGGGTAATTTCTAACTCTGAAATATAAAGTAGGCTACTCAGTAGTGATTTAATTAAATACAGATAATGGCTTCACATAAGACATTTGTTATTAAAATCCTAACTGTGCCTCAGGAGCAAAGTGTAAACTGTACACTTACTTAAAAATCTGTGATGTGAGTTTAATATTTATACTATGACTATGTGAAGCAGTTGACTTCTGTGTTGTATTTTAAAAATATTCCTGAGGTGCTGCAAGATGGCACAGTGGTTAAGAGTGTTTGCTGGTTCTCCAGAGAACCCGAGTTCAGTTCCGCACACCCACGTTGGGCGGCTTACTGCCTGTAACTCCAGCTCTAAGGGACCCAATGCCCTCTTCTGCTGTGCCAGGGTATCTACACATACAGGGTGCATATACATGTGGATACACACACAAAAACATGAATCTTTACAGTCTTCCTGAGTGAATGTAATATAATGTCTACACTTTATAATTTATACTTCTTTTTTCCTAACAGGGATTTGAAAGCTGGTAATATTCTTCTGGGTGAGGATGGTTCGGTACAAATAGCAGGTAAAGCTATTAAAAATGAAAATATTTCCTAGTTCACAGGACTGTTAGAATTTCTGGGAATGGAGGACAGTTCCCAGGAAATTGATTAAGCACATATAAGCTCTTTTAAGAACGTGTATGGGCAGCTTTGTCCTACTGCACATGCATTTACAGTATGCTTGGGGCTGAAGCCTGGATGGATCATTTCTAGTTCTTCAAATAAGTAGTGCTCTTTTACTACAGAATTTTTTTGATAAGAGTGATAAGACTTTTAATTGTATTATTTTCTAACTGAATATTTTCCACGTTTCAGATTGAATAAAGATACTTATATACCTACAAGAAGAGTGGTTTTGAAAACTTTTTTGATGAGTTTGAAAATCTAAAACATTGTACATATTTTTTTTCTGAATGACTGTTGAGTGACTACATCAGCCAAACATGTCCCATACTTGGCACCTGTCGTTTTGTTACTTTGAGATACCAGAGTAACCTGAAAGTCTTGGCTGGAAGGGAGCTATAGCCTTGTTACTCCAGGTCCTTGCGGGGCTATTCCAGGTGTCCTTTCAGCTATCAGCATCTCTGTGTGGGAATGCTCTGGGTTTGTTTGCTTGGCAGTCCTTTCCTGTATTACTGTCCATTACCGAGCGTTCAGCTTTCGAGCTTCCAGGTATTAAATGTTATTAGCAGCCATTGCTAGCACCACTCTTGGTGAAAACACTCATCTGGTTTCTGTTACTAAGAATGTAGAAATTTGCCTCACATTGATGAATCAACCACACTGACTTCATTTTGGGTTGTAGGAAATATCCTGTCTCCTAGCATAGTTTACGACTTTGGTTATTATTAGACCAAATTTGATCATAGCCCTTTGTTCCAGGCAAAGGTCTGTTTCCATATAAATCTGAAGATCTAGTTATTAGAAATAGAAGAGTTGAGTGGAAAACAAACTCCAGCACAAGCCTAATCTTTATTTTATTTATTTTTATTCTCTTTTATTTATTTTATTTCTTGGAGGTTCTGGGTCAAATGCAAGGCCTTGAGAATGCTGGGCAAGTGCTTTACTATTGAGCTTCCTCTTCAGCAAAAGAACTCGAGCTGTGGGGCATTTCTGATTCTCTGTTTGATTCTTTCCCTGTGGGCCCTCAGTGGAATAAGTAGGATTCTAACCTTGGCCTCAGTATTTACATACTCAAGGGCGACTTATGATTTCTTTTTTTTTTAGGATACATGACAAATTTTAGAAATGCAAATAAAAATCGGGAAATCTTTTCAAATCAAGCTCATTTTTCCTTGAAGTACTAATAAAGGAAATAATTATCTTGAAGGAGGTTAACTTGGCTACGTACCGTAGGTTGATTTAAAAGTCTGGGAGTCCTGTGTTTCAGTTAAGTCCAAGAACTTCAAAATCTTGATTTACATCCACTGTGTGATTTAGGGCGTAATTATTCCGCCTTTCTCTTTGGTGTGGCCTTCCTTCCTACAGGTGGCCCTGCCTTCCTAGGGTGATTGCTTGACCAGGTCATGGACTACCCAGCTGAATTAACTCTTAAGGGAGGAGGCAGTGTCCCCATCTAGAGGTATATTCCATTTTTGACTATAACAGTTTTTGGTGGCTCTCAATATTTATATGGAACTTTGTCCTTAAGTCATCTGCCATTAAGTTAGTGCCTTACATATGCATATTTTGTCATCCCTTAGCAAGTGAAGTGTTTCTTATCTCAAAGGCTAGGGGGAGTTTGAAAAAAATACTTCAACCAAAGAAGTGAAAGATGAAAAAAATGTGGCAAAACTCTGGAACTATCTGGCTGCCAGGTCTCCTGAGTGCAGGCTTTGGTTTCTGCTGTCTTGGTTAAATTCCCAGACCATCACTCAGTAACTCTGTGACGTAAATCATCTCACCAAACCTTTGTAAGACTCAGTTCCGCTAAAGAGAATAAAAATACATCCTTTGAGAATGAGGGCACACAGTAGGCACACTCCAGCTTCCTACAGAGAGCTGCTGTTCCACTGCTGCTGCTGCTACTCTGGTTACAGGAGTTGCTATCATTACTGTGGTCAGTAGGGTCACACTTGTAGTGCCTGGAGATGTGCCTCTAATTTGTTTTGCCAAAGGTTCAGCTTTAAGGGACTTTATGGATTACAAAGAGGTAAGCTAGTAAATCATAGAATTTGGAAGAAAACTCGCCATTATTCTTGCTTTAGGTCAATAAGGAAGCACAACTAATATTCTTTGTTTGGTGATGAAATGGTCCTTTTTCACTAAGAGGGTCAAAATAGCAGTGAATCACCTTTCAAATGCAAAGGCAGGTCAATACCTGCCTTATCCTCCCACTTGGTAGCCTGCCAGTCACCCCATCTCATTATTCTTGTCAGATTAATGATCTGAGCTCTTTCCTGGGTGTCTGGAACACCTTGTCCTTTCCTTTTTCTCTGATGGGATCCTCTGAGGTGAGGTTTCCTGTGCTTGTCTTTCTGTCTCAGACCTTAGGGATCTTTCCTTACCAGGAGTGGTGTTGAATGGGGTTGCTCTGGGAGGCTGCTGGGTTCAGGAGGACACCTGCAGAAAGCTTCAAAGCAGGGTGATTGTGAGATTAGCTCGGTGGGTGCATAAAGGGCTGTGCTTTGACTGTATGTGCCTGTATGTGTGAGAACTTTGTGGTACAGTCATTCCTTGTTTTTCTGCTATGTTTTTTGCGTAGCAACTTCATGAACTGGAAGTACCATGTCCCAGATGTCTGGAGTGGTCAAATGGGCATTTAAATAAGTACACCTTCTATACCTTTGGAACTGAAGCTTTTTAGAATTCATCATAAATTTTCTCCCTGTTCTCTGAACTGAGCACAACATTGCATTTGTGCATAATTTTAAATTTCAGATTTTAAAATAGAACTATAAGTTACTGTCTTTAAAAAGCATTTGCCATGATTCCTTGGTGCAGGTTGCTGCTACTGCTTCCATTATGTAGCAGGCTGACATTCTGGTCAGGCAGTTGGTTACTTAGGGCATGGGGGTCTCAGATCTGGACTTTGGGTCCTTAACTGTCATCTTTGGTGGGGAATACAGGGAAGGTAGATGAGTAAGGGGGACAAAAGTAGAGGCACACAGCCACAGCAGGAGCAAAGCTCTCCTTGCTACCACCTGTTCTGTTTGAACAGCAGTGCGTTGCTCGTACCCAGACTGGTCCTGCCTCCTTCCCTTTGTACCTTCCTGCATCCTTAAGACACATATTTTGAAATAAATTAGGGAAGGAAGCTTAGCTTTTATTTCTTCAAATGTATTGTATATTGGATTCCTTGAGAGTGTTATCATGTACATTGTTTTTAGAAAGGCTATTTCTGCTAGCATAATAGAAAGAATAACATTTTTAATGCAAAAATCATGTAATTAAATTCCCTTTTTCAGAATTTTTAGTTGAATAGAAGATCAGATGCCTGGGCTAGATCGCGAGAAACCCTCCTCACCTTAAAGAGTATAGGACCACGCTTACATAATTTAATTTTGTTTACAATGGTGCAAATACCTACGGAAAGTGTAAGCATTTCTATTGACTATCCATGAAAGATCAGTAACTAATGTGTCCTGAGTGTTTCCTGTGTGTCAGGCCCACCCTTGGATACCAAACGTGTTCTGGACTTACTTGGTCCTCCCACAGCCCATGGAGGAAAGAACTGTTAGGCCCATGTTATAGACCAGGAACGGAGACTTAGAGTGAGGCAGTGGCTTACCCAGGTCAAACGTGGGATGACTGGTGAAGCCAAGCTTCTGATTCTGTCCTCTGCTTCTAGAGCTGGTCAGTCCCATCGGTGGGAGTCCCAGGGAGACCCCACTAAATCTTGACTTGAATGATCTCAGTTTCAGGTGGCATAGCAGTAGCATTCACTAGATTTTTCTCTCTCTCTGTAAATCCACTTTGGATCAGGGAACATACCGTATGGTGTCGTCTTCTTTGTTCCTTCAAGTTGAAATATACAATGTGGCAGGTAAAATTTAAAGAGAAAGAGAAGCAGCCATGTTAGTTGGCATTTGGTGTAGAATTAAGCTTACTTGCGACACTACACTCTCTTCAGATTGATAAAAGTCAGCTTTGATGCCATAAGTTAAAACCAGATGATGGAGTGTCCACTCAGGATTAAAGAAAATGCTTTCCTCCTTCTGTGCTATGCTTGGAAAGCCTGTGTGTAACTCCCTCAAAATAAATGTGGATAGGATGCCTCAAATGTAATAGGTGCTGCTACAGTATGTGGTAGAAAAAGGGAAATGGCTGTTGAAAGTCAAGCTCTTTCCATAGCATGGTGCTTATTTTCTAATTTGATATTCTGTCATATCAGGAAAAATTTAGTACCTTGTCTGACAAGTAACTAAATCTCTTTGTATAGAATCGAGAGAGAGGGAAAGAGGGAGAGAGGGAGAGAGCGAGAGAGCGAAAGAGAGAGAGAGAGAGAGAGAGAGAGAGAGAGAATATTTGCAGAAAATAGAATTTAATAGTGAACAGGCCACTGTTGGGTGCTCAGCTACAAATTTGTTTAGGAATGTACTGTAGAGCCAGACATGGTGGCACATACTTTTAATCCCAGCACTTGGGAGGCAGAAGCAGGCAGATCTCTGTGAGTTCAAGGCCAGCCTGGTTTACATAGTGAGTTCCAGGTCAGCTGAGGCTACAGGGAAACTCTATCTCAAAAAGACCAAAAATTAATCAATTAATTAAAAAACATAATGGTCATGACCCAGGGAAGGGGGGGAAAAAGGAAACACTTCTCAAAAAAAAAAAACAAAAAAAAAAAAAAAAAAAAAGGATGTACTATAAAAGTTTGATGTCAAAGTACTATTTTTTTGTTGTCTTTTTTTAAAAGGGGGTAAGGTCTTGCTATGTAGCCGTGGCTGACCTGATACTCATTATATAACCCAGGTTTGCCCAGAACTCACAGCATTTCTCCTGCCTCAGCCTCGTTGGGATCATAGGCATGTGCCATTGTGCCCAGCCATAAAATGTGATTTCTAAAGAAGTGTCTGCTTGTTTA